ACTACAGTGGCTACACATATGGGGCCAGCTGGACTAAAGGGAAAAAAAGATGCTGTCCTCCAGCCAAGAATATAAAGTACTAAAAGCAGTTATGCCACTGTGAGCAGTTTAGTGGCTCAGCATTTCTCGTTTCCCTTCCCATTTAGAGTAGGAAGGATATAGCTTTTACTTGTCTAGGGCAAAATATGATAAAATTATGTTCTTCCAAAAGAACTGCTACCTTTCTTCCTTCCACAACATGCAATACCAAAACTCAGTGCAAAAATACCCATTTCAGCCTATCAAAGCCCTCTGAAGTTTGCAGGATCACTGCAATGGAAGAGGACACAAAGGTCACAAATTTTGGTCAGGATAATAGCTTGACAATGCAGCCAGCCTCAATAGCTGTGACTGTTCAGCAGGCAAAGGGCTGCAAGGAATCACTGCTCCCAGAACTGTGCAACCCCATCCCTGCTACCAGGACCCCAGGCTATGCAGTATGGAGGCATATCAGTCACTGAATTTTTAAGATACTCTCTCCCTCTCCAAAGCCTTAAGCACTGCTGAAGTTAATGTTGTTCCTAATTATATCTTAAATAAACATGTGACATCAAAAAAATTACTCTATAGATTCTCCCTCATCTATATTTACTCAGGCACAATAGCAGCTGCCTACACGATTTTTGTCTTGCTAATGCACAGCAATAATCATAGAACCACCCCCAGCCTATCTATTTTGGTAGAGTGCAGAAATAGACATTAAACCTATAAATGTCAGAGCATGCCTTCGTTTCAGATGTTAGTATCATTTAAATTAGCACTTGAATGATGTTTCCACAACGTGAGAGCTTTTCAAATGATGGTATATTGCACACGAAGTGCACTGGCCCTGCTTTAAGCACCTCCAACCCATTAGGCCCAGCTGTAATTTGGTGCTTTTAGAAAAGCAAACGCATCGTATAAGAAAGGGCTGTGGTGTTTTTTGTTTATGCCCACAAGTCCCCAGGGAATTGCTGATGCCATAATTACCTGAGTATTTGAACATGGGGCTCTGGTTGGGAGGTAAACATGAGTTGTGCTTGTTGTCCAGATACATTTAGGAACAGCTGTGTCTGAATGGTTGGAACATCACATTATCTGAACATGTCCTCACATTTCAGAGTGAACACTGCTCACTATGAAAGCAATGCCATTGGAGGGAAAATATGTTACCTGGAAAATGGAAGCAGCAAATCATGTTTTTTCTGTAGGTCTAGGAAAATTAGGAGCAAATCCTCCACCTTCCTTTTGACCACTAAACTCCAGTAAGATTAATTAAAAGAAAACCAGGAAAAAAGAACTGATTATTCGAGATTTAGTGGACATGGGGAAGCTTATTGCAAGGAAGCCTTGTTTTAAAAAGACAAAAACGGGGAAAGTGTGAAATCAGACAGCAGTTAGACAGATCAACTCAATGCTGCTTTCAAGAAACAGAAATTCTGCTCAAACAAAATAGTGCAAAAGGAGACACCTGGGATCAGATTTCTGGGAACAATATATGTTTGTTTTAGGGTGAAGTGCTTCCATAATTCTCTTATGTTAAAACATCAATTTCTGAGAAGGCTCTATATGTCATTTAGTAAGTCCTCTCATTATAATAAAGTCTTACACCACAGACATCACATTTTATTACAAACATCATGCAAATAGAGCATATTGCTTCATCAGACAGAAGACTAAGTTCATACTCCTCTCTAAAGTAAAATCCACAGCAACCACCAAACCACCCCACATAGAGGAGCTGCATGTACAAAACCAACAGTGACACCTCGTGGGCAATAGTCAAGCACAAATTTATTAACTATGATTTCTTCCAGAACATCAACTTTAGAGATTGATCATTACAAAAAAATGAAGGCATATGCTCTTTTGTAGCACTAGGAAAAAAATCATCCTTCACTGAGTGCTGCAGAGGATAATGCAGGCAGCCCAGCAGCTCCACACAGAACTAGTCAGGTATCCTGCAGGAGCAGGAGCAATGCCAGTGGAGGGAGTCCTGACTGGCACTGGGAATGCCGACAGCAGGAGTTTGAATTAGAATCAGGTGTGCACTCCAAAGGACATCTCCCCCCATCCCTACTTTCTCCAGTTTGGTTTGCATTCCAGTGCTGTCCCAGCACATAACACTAAACTGGAAGACAACATTCAGGACAAACTGCACAGGACAAATGGGTGTGCAGTGCACAGGACAAATGGGTGTGCAGTGCCCAGGCCAGCCTTGGCCTCACCTGCAGCATGGAGGGGATGGCCAGCCTGCCCAGAGCCTCCCACAGACTGGTTCTGGGTGCTGAGCAAGCCAGGCTTTGCATGGCACTGGGCTCCAGCTAGCCTGGATCTGCACCTCACACTGTCTCCCAGGGTCTCTCAGTCACCACGTCTGCTGCTGATATCAAACTAGGAGGAGCTGTGGGCTTCCTTAAGGGTAAAGGGACATCTGGATAGACTACACAGCTGGATCATCAACTGTATGAAATTTAACAAGAGCAAGTGCTGTATTCTCTACCTAGGATGGGACAATTCAGGTCATAGGTACAAACTAGGGGATGAGAGGCTGCAGAGCAGTCCTGCAGAAAGTAATCAAGCGGTTTAGATTGATGGCAAGTTAAATTTGAGGCAGCAGTAGCCATGACAGCAAAAGGGCCAGCCACAATCTGGGGTGCATCAGGCACAGAATACTTTTCCCCACGTAAGTTCCAGCAAGAAATTATGTATGGCACTTGTATCATCTCTCAGCACACACTCTCATCAAAAATAAAACCCATATAATAAAACCTTCTTAGTTTCCTTTATCAGAGTGAAAACTTGAGTGAGCTGCAATTTGAGGACAGAAACAGTCTGGTTAAGCTACAGGAGAAGTTTTTTAATGGTAAGACTACAAACAACAATTTTCAAATCTCTTGTTAAAAGTGGCTGCTGAGCAAGAGCTCTGAAGAGAACAGTTAAGGACTGGAAGAACTCAAAGGAAATGCCAACAGAACATTTTGGTAAAGGAGCACTGCTAGCTCCTTCCTTTGGTCCACAGTTAAGGTCAACATTAAAGTAAAACCGAACAGACCAAGTGCCAGTCTGTCCAGATTCTACTACACTGCAAATCAGCCAGCACACAACCTGTCAGCTGCTCAAGGCACACAGTCATCTTTGCTTCACTGCCCAGCCTTTTTCTTGTTTTTTTACTGTCACTGAAGAGTTCAACACACTTTCAGACAGACTGAGCTAACATGCTAAACTTCAGGCATATAAACTCTCTCTTGCACACTGGAGCAAGGATATAGCTAAACACTGGATATGTCTTTTGAAAAGAGTGTTAAATTTTGTTTTTTCTAGTTACTAGAAAGACTGAGGAAGGAAAAGCATGTGTTAAATGCATTCAAGAGCTAACAGTGGCAGTAAAAGATGAAGCACAGAAATACAGAATCAATTACAATTCTTCTAAAGGATGGTGTGGCCTGGCATAAATCTTGTCATGTTACAGCCTGCACATGCCTGTCAACACCCATCTATGACTACAAAGACTGACTGGATAATCACTATTAACACTGCCTGGGGTTATTCACCTCAGCATAGTAAAGGCTATTTACACTAATACCTATGTGGTTTCAGGTTTAGATTAAGTGTCCAGATGCAGACCCTTTGGATCACAGTAGTAATATCACATTATTGGATAAACTGCTGAAATTCTTTTGTATGTTACAAATTGTTCAGCTTTCTTGTAGTGACACTGAGCTAAGAAGCATCGTGTTGAAGAGGGCACAATCAAACCACAAGATTAAATAGATTTGTGATTTCAAGTAAGGCAAATTTTCTGTAAAATCTAGTGGTTTTTTTAGACAAAATGAACAAATGCAACTTTCAGGCATCTTAAATAAACATTCCTCTTTTGAGGAGAGAAATAAATATTCTACTTTGTAGGAGAAGAAAAAAAACCCAACAAACAACTTTCTGGCCAGGTTTTCCATCCATGAAAGAAGTAAATACCAGTCTCCTACATTAGCCCTTCCTACCAGACTGACTTACTGACTGACTACTCCTGACAAGTGGTACGTACCAGCCAGTTTGTGAGCTAGAAGGATATATGTCTTCCCAGACTTTGAAAAAAGCCCTCTACCAGCAGAAAGCAGTTTAAGTCACCTGTTTCTGAAAACAGCAGATACTTTTCACTCAAGAGATAGTTCTCCAGAATCTGAGAGCAAAAACAGAGCTTTGTTGTGCTTAGCTCAGAGAGAGCAATAGCTTTGTTCTGAAAACTTTTTTCCCATCAGAAAAACAAGATATAGAAATAGAAAAGCAATTTTTCTGATCCCAGGAACTGCCCCTTCTCCCAAGCAATGATTCTTGCAGTTCTGTCTCTGACCCACTGCACCTTAAGACCTCCCTCCTCACAGCTGCACAAGTGCAACTGCCCAGAACAACTGTAAAGCTGTTTATACATTACAGATGGACACAAACACACGGCCAGCTCAGTCTTCTAGATAATCTCGCTAGTTATTAATCTGAAGATGGTCTGAAGGACACCTGTTTGAGTGCAGACTTCAAGCTACACAGCCTAGAGATACCCAGTTATGAGGCACCCTTGGGTTCAGCATACAAACATTATCACAAGTGTCCTGACACCATGAGGCACTTACCCCACTGTGGTTTTACTTCTGTAGTTTATTCTCATGTGTTGTTGCACCCTCCTCCCTCTTCAAAGCTAGATACACAAAGTTCATAAAATTACTATTCTCAACATGCATACGTACTAACTGAACTGCTACAGACCAAAAATACCTTTAAAAAATTTCATCTTCAGTTAAGAACAGTGTAAGAATATTCTCTCTGAGAAGAATATCTATCCTTGTACTCTGTGTACTTTTACGAATCCTGCAGGTTTTCTTCCCCACAACTAGAAACTAAAGCCAGATCCTTTTCATATTTCATGTCAACGGTACTATTGAGAATGAGATTGGTACTTGAAGTGTAGAAAAATAAAACTAGCCAGAGACTATGGGAAATGCAGCAATGACATTTATTGGAATTTCTCTAGGCATTACATGAAAAATTTTAAAGTGAAACGGAGGATAAAGCTCATTCAGTGCATCTTTAAAAAAAAGATGTATCTGAATAATCTTGGTTCTTTGTAATATATGCTGCTGCAGTTCCTGGGATTAGTTTTTTATGTACACATCAGCTAAAACTCACTCTGAACAAAACTGCAAAGAACTGCTTTTTCATTTGGCATTTCCCCATCTAGTACAATACAACATTCTTGAAATATCTAGACAGATTTCACATAATTTATACACCGTGCTAAGACCTTTCACCCCAAATATAAAAAGAGAGACTGTTAAGTAAATCAGTATCTTTAATCAACTAAAACATCATGGAAGTAAAAAAACAACAACAAAAAACCCAGGAGAGCCAAAGCCCCATGAATTCCACAGCAGTGTGAAGCAAATAAACGTTGTTGTTCATCACTTTTATGGTAGCATAAAGAATAATACTTAGAATGCAGTGATATTCAGTCCTTGCTTTCTAAATTGGACAATCTTATGCGAAAAAACACTGCTGTATTTGGCACTTCGCTTAATTGGTTTTCTTACTAGAAAGAGTCTTTCCTGAAATACAGTAAAAATGGAAAGAGATAACATGAGCCACTGTAAAACGCAATTAAGGGTTCAGACATGCACTTCAAGATACTCATCTATTACACATTCGTCTAAGCCTTCTCAAAAATTCCACTAAAAAACATATTCAAATCTATATACAACTTTTTATACCTCTAAAAACATAATTTCTCACTTGAAATGATCAGAGTTTATCCCACCTTCTGTTCAGAACACAAAAATTCATGACTTTTGTTTTAAAAAGAAGACCACAAAGCAGTATTAAAACAGGAATAGCCTGGAAAGTGTTATTAAAATTGTGCCTGTACTTCAGGATCCCCTTTGAAATGTATAGCCACTGTATATGTGAAAACTGAAAGGTACATAATATCTGAGACTTGCTTGGTCCTCTCCTGTGCACTCACACTTAACTTCCTGCAACCTACCTCAATTTTCTTCTCAAATGAAATTTAAAACAGGTTTCTGCATCCCAATACAATTAGACAAGACTTCTTGCAGCATTTCTTTGGTTTAATGAGAACCCATGACACATGTAACTCTTACAACAGGCAAGTCTCCAGTGGAAAATTAATTATCAGGATAAATCCCATCCCGCTGTTGTGCTTCCTTCCTCTCCTCATCACGACCAACCCCAGGACAGGTGGAAGCAAAGAGGCCAGGAAGGAAGGGGCGGTCACTGCTAGCTCTTGCCTTTGCCAGCTCTGTGAGTGCGTGCAGACACCGATTCCTCAGCTCTGGGTTATGGAGGCACAGCTATGATGTGATGCTTTTTTTGTTTCCAGTTCCAACATGCATGTGGAATTACACTGCTGACTGGTACAGCCCAGACAGTGGATGGCACTACAGCTCCTTCTGTGCAAACCATGTCATGATACTTTGTCTCCTTATCGGTCTGTGCTCACAATGTCAGTAGAATTAAAAGAGAGGCACGCATGAGTTCACACAGATTTTCCACAGAAGACGTGAAACATGCTGCTCTTTGGAGGGAAAATTACATTCTCCTTTTTTTTTTCTTCAAGTATTATTCAACATATTCAATATACATATATATAAAGACACACTATCCTCATTTCACTACAAGACAAGCACACATCCAGAGTGAATTTGCAGATCACCATTCTCTTTCTCTACTCCAATTTCTCCTTTCCTTTAGGTCAACTCTAAATATACATCTACTCATCATAATTACATGTGAGAATCCTTTACTTCCCCCTTGTGATTTATTTACATAATCATAAAAAAATTAATAGCCTGAATTTGCATACTGACACTTGAAGGCCCATCTGTAGCTATGAGTGTCCCAGCACTATTTTTGGGTAATACCATTGCCTATTGCTAAGTAGCTATTGAAAGCAGCATACTCATTTTTTCATTCCCTTTTTGTTTTTGAAGAAATGCTGCCTAGAAAACCCTGGTTTATGGCTTACTCCATATTTTATTATTTGGGTTGTAGTTTACTTCCTTCAGGAGCAGTTCACAGTCAGACAACACTTCTGCTGGCAAATACTTCACAATCTGCTCAAGAGTCTTTTGATATGTTATCTTCTCCTGTTCCAGAGACTGAATTACAGTCTTCATTTTGTTCTCTCGTGTCAAAACACTTTCCAGGTTGGCTTCCAGACTTTGAATTTTAGCGTGAGCAACCTGTAAACAATAACATTATCATAATTTGATAAATTCTGAAGAGTTTTCTTTTAATATTATCATATAGTATCTGCTAAGGAAAGAATTACATAGCTACTTCTAAAAGACATCTGTGTAGGCAGACAATACAAGGAATGCATACTGTGTGTCATACACAAAATCTCCTCATAGTGGCCAGATCAACCTGAATAATTTCTCAAAGCTTTACAGAGGTAAGGAGACATACAAGTCACAGTAAAAGCAAGGGACAGCTGAGAGTAACAAGGAACTGGAGCCATAGGGAGAAAAAGGAAATCAGCAGCTGGAGGACATGACCTGTCTGATGGTGATGGAACAAGGGGAACCCTCTGTGATAAAGTAAGTTAGCAGGATGGAGACTTTGGAGAGAAAGAGAACCTCAACATTAAGTCTAGAAGCAGACTGTGTTCCCTATTCTCCAAAAAAAACCCTACAGCTTCCTCTGACTAATCAAAGAAACCCTGGACCACAGCAGCAGCAGTTCCTTCTGTGGGAACTGGAAGAATTCTGATTGTTCCTAGGAAAGGGTACAAGCAGAGGAATGAAGAATTTATACAAACAAAAAGGTGAAGAGGTTAAGCACTGAGAAAGAAGCATTATTGTAAGACACTCTGAAGGAATAGAAAAGCTTTGAAAAAGCTTTTCAAATCATCCACTGAATTATTGTATGCCTTTGGTATATTTTCAGAACAGAGGTAAAAGCCACAGCTGGAGTAAATAAATAAAGAAAAATCAAAAAGAAAAATTAATAACAGTAAAAAGTTCAAGTGATTCCTGTTTTCAGTATCAAAAGAACACAGCACCCTTAGCCTATAAACACAAGAATAATGAGGACTTGATCTTTCCTTTTTTCCTTCCATGTTCACGTTTCAGAAGCTGAAAATGCTTTTTGAGCTCTTGGCAATGCTTGCTCGAATTCACAAATAAAACAAGAAATAGCCTGATGATGAAGAAAACAAGAACTTATCTTTCAAGAAATGCAAGACAGTACAACATATTGCAACTGAAACAAGTCTTGACCAAGCTATGAGACAAAGGGTAAATAGTGAAGGAGGAAGGGCTTTTATTAAAAGCACAACTTCACCAGGCAAAGTCTGGTGGGCTTTCAGATGTAATCAGGTCTGCTAGAATAAACTACCTTCCAAAAGTAGGACTATGAGTTTCAGCAGAAGGAAACAAAACAGCACTGCCTACCAAGGCCTGGACAAAACAAGTCTTCTGCACTATGGATTATTCCTTTATACTTTCCAATAGGGAAGCAGAGAGGTGAAGGGACAGAGAACTCACTTTTCAGTAAGATACACAGAATTTGCCAACAGATTTTATGGCATATAAGGGTAGAGAGATTTGGGGAAAAAGAAATCTAAATCAAGAAGGAAAAGTCCAAGGAATGACAAAGGAGTAAAAGTATGCCTAGCAGAAGTAAAAGGCTGTAATTAAGAGAACTGCTCAACTGCTCAAGGTCTTGCAGTAAGAAGACTTCTCACATACACTTAAAATAATACACTTTCCTCTATTGTCTGAATCATAGGAATGACTCCACCATGAGTTTGTAGCCTAAGACATTTACCTGTAGCTTCTCCAACAAATCCATGTTTTGCCTCTTCAGCTGGTTGTTTGCCCTCTCCAGCTTCTCCAGAGGTTCACCTTCATCACAGGGACTCACATTTTCCTGTAGTTCATCCTGAAGAACATGGTACTCTACTTCATAGGCATGGAGCTGTTTTGAGATATCCATCTCAAACACCTGCCATGAGAGAAAAGACCATTTTTAACTAAAATAGAGAGGACTTATTCCATGTGAATGTTTGGTAAGAGTCAATGCTTTTGATTAATGCTTTTCCTGTTCCCTTCAAAAAAGTATTTTGAGGAGATGTCTCAGTAAGAGCAATATAACAGAGTTGTAACCATAATAAATCATAGACTTCAGAATAAATTGGATCATGCCTTTCACAATTACCAAATATAATCTCTTACTAGGAGCTGTATCAGCAGGAAAGTCTTATTCAATCCAAGAATTTTATAATATGACGAAGTTTTTTTGACTCTTGCTCAGGAATATTAAGAAGTTCAAGACAAAATTTTTAAATCTGGGATTCATCAGATCTCTGCCTTCAAAACTGGATCCTTTGACTCCAAGAGCTCATTTACAGACTTCTGTAAAAACAGTCTTCACGGTTACAGCTTCCATGTGCTCTATGCCTGCATGATGACACGCCACTTTCTTAGTGGGATACTTTAGGGACAAAGCATTGTGAAGACTACAGAACTGAGCCTCTAACAGCGATGGGACATACGACCCTGATCTGTTTACACATCTAGTCACAGCCTCTCAGCTTCAGGAAATTACCAAGCATTTTAGACTAGGACTGGAAGGATGTCTATTGTGACACCAATTTTCTGTTCCTTATCCTCGAGATCACAAATATTCCACCAACACAAGACATACATGGATTCCCTGAAAAACCAAGTTCCGTATTACTTTCACTGTTCTATTCAATTCAAATGATATAAAAAATTAAATTATGTAGTGTTCAAGCTGGTTAAGTACCATTTTCCTTTACATAGCTACCTGATCAATCACCTGTGTATTACAGATCTGCATAATGTCTACATTTTTCTTTCATTATCCATTATAAGGGGATGGTCCTGGGAACTACAAGACTGAGCTAGCCACACAACTGCCCCTGCAGCCAGGTAGCAGCAACAGGATACAGGCAGTCTACACACGAATGGAGATCTGGAAGGCTGCTCAGCATGAGACCACACCACAGGCCAGCAGAGCTGAGCTGAGCTGCCCTGCATGTAACCACATTCAGCTCTGCAGGCAACATAAGCCATTCCTTACCCTATCAGACCTGGCTTTGCACAAAACCATTTCTACCCTGCCCACACAGCATGGCTGCACTGCAAGCCACGCAGAGCACAGAACAGGTTTCATGTCTGAGAGCATCAAAAGTGTTAAACTCCCATCTCTGCCATAGCCAGAATCAGTGAGTCGTGAAAGACACGAAAGTGCCTGACACAGATTTAGCGTGGCAATGACAGTCAATGCAATGAGGAAATGAAGATTTACACTGTCTAAATATTAATTCTTATCTAACAGCACCTGAAGGAGTCAAACCTTAACAAGCCACAGGAATGCACAAGTGTTTATTCCACTCCCGCAGATGGACACAGTTTTCTAGAGCTCTTCTTTTATCTCTGAATTACCACCTGAAGGGGGAGAGGTGCTCAAAGTTTCACAATTAAGGTACTAGACTGAGGCTCATTCTCAATTTGCAGCTTCAACGCAGAGGAAGTCTAGTTATAAAGATTCCAGCCACTGACAGTATTTCTCAAGAAACTAAATGGGGGGAAAAAAGTAAAGAGAAAAACATCCTTACCTGAGTAATAATTTTTTCCATTTGAGGTTTTGTCATATCTGGAATAGTGGTTTTAAGAAAATCAACAATGTTCTCAAAACTCTCACATCCCATTATAGATGTCTCTTGACTGCTAAGTAGGCTCAGTGCTACTTTAAATATGACTTCTGTTCCTTGAAGAAAAATAATGTCTAAAAGAGAAAATAATTAAAGTATCTTGAAAATGGGAGCTAGAGTCATTGGATTAATACATATAGTTACTGGGATTTTTTTTAATCAATCACAGTGCAGATGTATTCAGTTCAGTAGTGCAATCTGTCTTATTTCATCATGAAGATAAAGCATGAATTTTCTTTAATCTTACAGATGTGAGAGAGCATTAAAGAAAATACTGCGTGCTTATTATGTCTGCAGCAGTTATCTGCAATAAGCATTTCATCACTGTCTGCCAGAGACTGTTAACCAACAGCTAACTGGTTTTAAGTGCTTGTGTGACTGAAAAGCAATTGGGGAGCAGATCACAACACAACAGTTTTCAACAGGCAGAAGCTAGAAAAAATTATGTAGATCCCATAATCAGTTATATTATTCTCAAAAGTCATAGTAGTGATCTTACTGGCTATAATCTAATCCCCAAACCCTTACTTTGAGATATAATTACATGGATAAGAGAGGAAAGTCTGGGCTCTGCAGGTCAGTAGAAACAGACTGTATAGAAATGGGAATCTTGAGGACAGCAAATAGAAGTTCTGCCTCAGAATCAATAGTGGACTCGAAGTTACTGAGATGAAGGCAGGACATTGGCATTTCAAATAAACCTCCTGAGCTGTCGGCTCTGTCACACCACAGGGTGTTTGTTCAGGGCTACATAACTGAAGGAATTCAATTCCTGATCCTGATACTTTAAGAGGTCATCCCTGGCCTAATCCAGTATCACACAGCAGCACAAGGGCACTGATGAAGCAGCCATATCCCTCAAATGCCATTCCTGAAATTCTCCCTTCTCAAGTCTATGATGGACATTCAAACTGCATAAATATAAGTACATAATTTTTGAAGGATAGACAATAGCCATTTGTTCCTGGTATATGACAATGGCCCAAAAAATACTGAAAATTCAGGAATTCAAAGCATTAAGAAGTAAAACTACACTGTAACTTTTCAATTTTAAAATGGGAACCTGCCTTGCTCAGCTTATTTACCTCCATCTTCCCCATGTGTAAAAAATTCATTTAGGAAAGGAAAAAACCAAACAACGAAAAAGAAAGAAACACAAAATGCTCAAGTGTCCCAGAATCCAGAAATCCCACCAGGAAACAGATATTCACATGACTGGTACACCACTGAGAAAGGGATACACCAATCATTTATTTATCCAGAGAGCAGCCAGCACTGGGTAAAAAAAAATTTAAAACTTCAAATCAAGCCAAACCAACCAAAACCCTCTTCCTGCTGCCAAGCCAAAACACCACACAAATTGAGAACTGAACACACCCCAGTATTAGAACATGAGACAAAATCAGGTTGGCTTTCTTAGGAAAAGATAAAAGGTGCCATATGAAAACAGAAAGATCAAAGGGAAAAAAGTATCTGATTCATGAGGAAGTACCTTATACATGCATTTAGATTTTTGGTGCATATACAAGTACAGTGAGTTTTGCATTAATAAATAAATCAAAATTTTACAAAAAGGTGTATTATTAGAGATTTGACTAAGCTGGAAGTTTTTATGGATAAGAAAAGAACCTAAAAATAATTACTTGACATCCTGATAGTGTAAATACTACCAGACATAATCAGTATTTGGGCTTCTGTACTAGACGTTTCCTGAAGAGTAGTTTTTAATGAAAAAAAGTATTTAAATGAAATCAGAGGCATATTAAGACTTGGAAATTGTTCAATATATACATGAACACCTAAACCAGCCTTTAAGTTCAAACTTACTCGAATTTTTTTAGAAAGCACTTTAGAATCAGAATTCAGAAATGCATTTTCTTTTTTCAGTTTGCAAATTTGACAAGATGAACTTTTCGACTGATACAAACTGAATACATTTGCATAAAATACATTTGCAACAATAAACTTTCTGCTGTTTGCACTTCAGAAATCTCTTAGGTAGTAAGAGAAGATAGAATTATTTGCTCGAGTCTAATGTTTCAAGAAATACCTTTTGGATTTTCCTCTTAAGAAGGAGCTGACATCCCACCATGAAAAGCGTTGCTACTTGCCACCCACAACAGTCACCCCAAACGTCCCCAGCATGTGGAAAACTACTCCTGGAGTGTTTCAAAATACAATGGATATTGTTCTGTTTATTATTTCAATAGAATAAACTTTCTTACCAAACACTCTGGCTACAAATCCTAGTGAAAACTGAGATGCAAACAGTGTAAGAAACCATGGTGCAGCATAAAGACTGGGACTGATTTCATTCTCTTCAAGATGATTATACAGGTCTCTGTGGTAATCATGTAGAAGCCTTGAGAGCTGATACATCTGAATCTGCAGTGCATGAGGGGATTGGGGGGGAGAAAGCAAAGAAAGAAAAGTTCAGCTTTACTCAGTTTTCCAAATCATTCATATTTCATTCAAGGGAAATTAACTGCAGTACAGATGGCTCAGTAAAACGAAGCTTAATTGCCTCCTGGGGCCTCGAGTGGTATCTACTCACGTATAAACAACCTGCCACTAATGAATTAAAACCAACAGGGCAGTCAATAACAAAGAACAGTTTGAACCTGATTATTAATGAAGTATCATTTCAGATTCACAAGCTTAAGGTAAGAAGGGAATATATTGTTACAACTTTGTCAAACCAGAACTTTCAGTCTTGCAGCAATGGAAGTAGTTGTACCTCTTCCAAGATGTCAAAACTCTACATGAGTTGAGACTAAATTTACATATTTCAGCTTTAATTCTTTGAATTTTGGCCTTATTTTTGCTGCATTTAAAACTCCAATGCTACAGTCGTCACTTTAGACAGTTTCTGTACCCACAGAATACACTTTACACATACATATTTCCCAGCACATCTCCCAGTGGTCCTGTGGAATTTAAGATTCTGAAGCAAAAAAGTGTTGCTGTACAACCTATAAAAGGTTGCAAGGAAAAATGGTTAAAAGGTGCTATTCATAGCTAAAAATATCACTCTGTGGTAAATCATTTCCTTGTGATGCTTCTCTCAGAATGCAGAATATGAGAAGCAGACACACACTGATCAGTTGTCAGGTCCAATTTTATTGTCAACAGTGCTTTATGCACTGGTGAATCTGTTCCACAATAAGAAAATGACTCTTTAAGTCCAGCTACTTTCCTACTTCTAGAGCTCATGCTTGCTCGCTACCAAAAGCTGAGTGCACTTGAAGCTACCTGTCAGCACTGCACACAAGCAGAGGGATCACTTTCATTTAGGCAGAACAGCTAAATTTGTGCATGCACTTGAGTTCTTGTTTTAATTGTAAGATACCAATTAAGCCAGTTTGGACAGTGTCAATACAAAACACGTGTGAAATCAGAACTGCATCACAGAGCAGTAAACCAATTGGTATAGTTCATTACGAACTAAGGATCTAGATTACTACTTTTTCCAGACAACAACTAAGTCAAATAAGTTTTCATTATCCTGAAGATTTATCCAACATTTTTCTTCTACAGGACTGAAGCCAATTCTGCCTATAAGCTTACTTGTGCTTCACTACTCTAAATGCAAAAGAATTTGCAGTACTCTACTCCTATTAGAAAACAACCCAAATATAGTAAAGATCCTCTAAGTCTTCTTGTCTAGTTTGTCTTGAGTAGACAAAACTTTAACAGAAGAACTGCCTAGAAGAAAACTGGGGGAAAAGAGAGGTCATTTAAAAGGCAAACAGTACAAGTGGTAAACTTTCTCACATTTATAAGTGTTCTTACTAAGAGGTTCTGACAATGGAGTCACACTCGTTTGAATTAAAATGTCAAATCTTGGACATGTGAATGCTTTCAAATTATCAGAGGCTGGAAGTCTACAACTGCAGTGTAACACACACACATCTTCTAGGGAATAAAACCCCACAAACATACATTCATCACACTTTGAGCCTCGCTGGTTTAAATATTGTGGGAGGGAATAGAACAGAAGGAGGTAAAACAATTCTTTTTATGGCTGTTCACTTTTAATTCATCAACAAACTTGTTATAGCATACTTACATCCACAGTCCTCTATCGTTTTTAGAACAAGCACATACAGTTTCTTTAACTACAACCTACTCCATTGCTCTGCACATTTGCCAGATAAGCACCTAAAGTGACTGATCATGGAAAGTGGGCTGAAATTCTCCTTTTAGTTTTGCTCAATTATAAATGCTTGCTATGCAGGGAGCATGGGAAAAAAAGAAGAGTTTTGTATCTGTTGCTTTGTTTTCTCTTACTTCTCTGTGGATTATAAAAGCTGTAACTCATCAATAGTATATTCCTTTATAATATAAGGGGATTTTAGCATATCATAATTATTCAAATCAGTGGACAGTAACATGTCAAGGTGAAATATTTCTCAAACTTTAAACCCTGAAATTTATACAGATCTGAAAAATTTTCTGTCTCCCTCCTAAACAGTCTTGAGTATGTATAGCTAGCTGTTAAATAATATTGCGAGCATGCATCATTGCATAAGATAATTAAACTATTAAAAAGTCATCTGTTTTCTCTCTCTGTTGAGGGTGATGGAGTAGAAGACAATGAGAGAAAAAGAGGTGAAATGATGAGTCAAGGCAGAGCAGCTCCAAGTACAAATGCCTGCAGAATACATTGACTGGCCACTGTGTGTCACTATTGACTTGACTTGGCCTTACAAGGGGGAAATCTACATCCAAGTGCTCATGGACTGAAGAAAAACAAAATCTAATTAATTTTTCTACTCCATCCATACATGACAAAGCATATCCTTTTTTTTTCTGGCATAAGGAAGAGAGAGCAGTGAGGAAGAGAAAAAGAAGTGCAAGCAGAATTTCTGAAGAGATGACAGGATTGTGTAACAGGAAAAACTGCAAGCTTTAAACTCCTCTGTTTGCAAATTGAGAGGCAGAGAGGGGCTTGACAGTAAAATATACATGTTCCTCAAAACCTCCAAAACAATATAAGAAGCTTCATAAGGTCCTGGAGAACCTAAGCAACCCCTAAGAGCTCAAAAGTCAAACTCTGGTTTGTTCCAGAAGGACTGACTTACCTGTAGCGACATCATGTCTGGCCTGTACTGTTTACGGAAGCCAAGGTCGTACATGAGGAATTTCAGCATTTCAAAGGCCTGTTCTTCACTCATATGTAGAAGCAGCACTCCAGCTACAAAACTTATACCTTGACAATAACCCACTTCTTTGTCCAGCAAAGAGTATGCTTTCAAGAGATTAAACAGTGACAGCTGTCCTGCTCCCAGGTGAGTGGAAAAGTAAGGATGTGTAGGGAATGTCCGTCCTGATGTAAAAAAAGAGTTGATATTCAATTCTTCTGAAGAAAAACCCCAATCCATCCGACAAATAGCATTTCTCCTCCCTCAGACCATTTATCTTTGCTTTCATATGCAGTTTGTCATTAATCAGATCAATCTGTATCTTACCACTGATTTTGGACTGTACCTTTTGAACTCATATAATATTCTCATCTGCACAGAATTGCAGAAGCAACTGCCCGACTTCTTTTTTCAGACAGATGCAGAAGGGTGTAATTATGAATGGCATAGCCTAAGAAATCATCTGCTTACAGGACATACACAGAATGTATCCTGATGACATAGAAAACGGAGCTCATAGAGCAGCATCTATCTTCAGCAACAGCTTCTATTATGACTGGTGTTTTTCACTCAAAGACCCATAAAACCAGTCAGAAAGGACAGACTTACCTAGATCTACGAGGATGGCATGCTGTTGAGCTGTCAGCTGTTTCAGAAGTTCTTTGTAAGAGATGTCAGGAGGCTGCTGCTTGTTTGGCAGCCTGTGCCTGACTCGGTGCTGCACAGCCAAAAACTGCCAAATTTCTCCCCGACGACTTTTTGGTACACCTGCAGGTCAAAAAAACCCCCAAAAAACAGAGGCTTAAGCAAGGGGATACTTTTAGTGCTACAACAAAAGAATTTGCTTTGTCATAATTTTGGCTGAACCACTCTGGAGGATCCCTTACAAAGTGAACTCCACTCTGCACTGCGTTCACTCGGTAGCCACGGCTCAGTCCCACAAACCAAAAGTGAACTACAAACTTTAGGGCAATCACACTGAGCAGTACCCTGGGCAACTGAGATGTCTCTTGCTTTGCCACTTCTGAGCTGTTAACCTCCAGTAGTAAAAGATACACAACTACACTCAGAATGTAGAACACCCTATTTAGAAAACCTGAACTACATTCACAAGTGTAAAATAGACAGAAGTCTAACTCCTTTTTCTCTTCGCAAAGGGCTGCTAATGTCAGTACACAGATGTGAAGAGGTACATCCTCCTTTGATATTTGACTCTGTAAACCAACCTTTGACAGTCAAAATGTCAACTCTGCTAATACCTTCTAGGTAAACAATTAATTAACAAGAAGACAAGTTAAAAAACCATATCCATGTTCCCAACTCTGAACTGCAATCCAACAGCAGAAGATAGGGTATCAAGGTAAATAATTTGTTGGCAGACTTCTGCAGATCACTAACAGGAACTGCTTTATATCTACAACTATTTTCTTTGGTAGCAATTTAAACTTCCCTTCTGTACCGCAGCCAGATTACACTGAATTATTTTTCAGCATCTGTAACACAGACATGAGATTCTATGGAAGAGGACAGAGCAGTGCAATCAGGCCCTACATCTGCATTATACTAACAAGGCCCTCTGGATACCCTCTTGGCCTATGGCTAGTCCACAGGAATATCTGCTTCAAGACAAAATCCCCAGCCTTTCATTCCAGGAAATGAAATACAAAGTGACTGTATTCTCCAAAAGTTGGATCTGATTTCTCTAGGTTTTGGGCACAGTCCACCACAGACATTATGGTCCTGCCTTCTCAGTAAGCAAGTAAAATCAGAACATCTGAAACTCAGAGTCAATTTGATCCACTGATCAGAAACCAGAAGGTCATAACGTTGGCTGCAGAGGCTCCAAGTTCAATCTGGAATATAATGACACATGGAAAAAAGATGCTACTTTCAGGAGTATGACTATACATGTTTCTGCAGTGCTGACATTGCAAGTTGCAGGCACGGCAGAAACTATTTTCTTTTCTGCAGGAGAGGGCAGCACCTTTGTGAAAAGAAGGCAATTTTTTGCTACTGGCAAAAGTGTATTGCTGATTTCTGTTGGTATCAAAAGAGAACAAAAAATATGATCTTGAGATTTCAGAGCTAAAAGCCTCCTACATAAATACCTTCTTTTAAAGTGGAATGAATGTCTTCCATGTCACATCGGATTTTGGCTCTGCAGTTTAGTAACTTCTTATCCCAAATATTTATGGCATCTTTCTGACATGTACCAACTTCATCATAATCCAGTTTTACTTTTCTTGATTGGAGCTCATCTCTGCTTGCTAGAACACAGAACAAAAAGGAAGAGCACATGGAAAAACAGAATATCAGAAAATTACAAGATAACAACAAATACACAAACCCCAAACAGTCAAATTAAATACATCTATCCAATAATCTGACTGGGAATAAATACATCTAATTCATTAGTTTATAGTTTAGATGGGGCCAGTTGTCATAAGATGTTGCATATAACAATTTAACTTCTCTTATTAGCAATTCATGAAGCACACAAAAAAATTTTTTAAAACTTGAGGTAAAAAATACCCACTCAATAAAACGTCACAGCACCTGTTCTGCAAAAACACCTTTAATCACTTTATTCTTGTTTATATTGAACATTACAATTGTTTGAGTATGGAAAGTCCCAAACATATGAATATTTGTATTAGAGATTTGGGCAAGCAAGCTAGGCAAGTCTCCTGAACTGAAGTCAATCACACTAGTTCCAGTTCTTACATCTCCCTTAAGAGAGAGAAGAGCTCTTGGCACTGCCACCTGGCATCATTAGGCTGACAAGTGCAAACAGAATGAACCAGCAGTAACCATATCCAGATAGATACATATGTGCTGAAGCACAGAACTCTTGCTGTTATAAACTTAAAAGCTTTGCTGCATAGGACTACCATGTACAAAGTATTTATTACACTACTTCTGAAAAAAGCAGCATTGTCACCCTGGTATTTCATGGAGAAGTGGCTTTCATTTCCATTACTAAGAAATCAACTCTGTGTATTTTATTATTCATGGTGCACATGCAGAAACACACTCCAGTTCCTCTAACTACTGGCACAAAAAACTGAAACCAAGACTTGAATGTGTCTTAATTTAGAGAGGTATGTTTAACTGTCATTGGAGTGAACTGTACATTTCAAACATCACCTCTGAGCTGCAACTGAGTTTGTCCAAAATTTGCCTTGGTCTGTGCACACTACTTCTTGCAGAAGCCTCCTTTCTCTTACAAATGTATCCCCTTTCCCATCACCACCTCTAGGTGAAAACAAAAACTCACTCACATTTTTATACATCCTGCAAAACATGACCATCTTCACTTCAGATAGAGTCAATATTGGATCAATCCACAGGATCATTGCCTAGCCCACTTCAAAAACGAAAAATTATTTCCAGAAGCTCAGTGTAACACCTCTGAGATCTTACCCACTGAAGACTACAGGACGGTCCTGCAGAATCAGGTATTATACAAGGTGAAGTACACTGCCATAAAAATGAGAGTATGATCTTACCACAGGAATTTGCAGTTCTGCTGGGGCGATTTCAAATGCTACCCTACTGCTGTACGATTTCACTCAAGAATTCTCACTCTTGTGAGCAGCATGCAACAGATTCAAGACAGCAGTTACATATTTCAGCGTGACAACAAACTCCCACATGAACTGTGCCATTAACCCTAGTGAGACCAGCGAGTCTGCCTGTTGATCATATGTGCCCTACCTACTACCCCATCCTTGGTTGTTTTCAACCATCCTTGTTAACATTTTTCCTAATCATTCCTAGGTTACTTTTTGCAGCTCTTATATTTCTAGGTGATCTACTGGAAAAAGGAACTTCTAGCTTCTCAGAAAAAAGAAAGGAAAAGAAGAAAGCAAGCTTGTGCAATTGACAGAACTTACCTTCTGTAAAATATAAAACTAATAGCATTCAAGTCTCCTCGACAGCAAAAGGAATAGGAAAAGAGGTTCTATTAATATTTTGTACATAAAAGTCAACAAATGATTAACAGAAATCCACTAGAAACAATTTCACAGTGATTCCAGTTTTAAGCCAATCTACTATATACAGCTAGGAACCTGGCTTCAAGTAAAGAAATTTCTGCATTTCTGTTGCTACATTTCCCTTTCCTGGGATGTGCATTTGATTGTAGGCTAGGATGCAAACAACCACCTGAACCTATGCTTGTTTGGAATGTATCAGCTCTGCACATGTCCTGTCCATAAAATGGCCCATGTTATAACAGCCCACAGGAAGGAAACCTAGAGACAGGTGTTAGGACAGTTTACTTTTCACCCTTTGAAAATAAGGTGATGAATTCTAGTTAGCAAGAGGACCAGTTCACCAGGGCTACTCATGAACCTGAATACAAGAATGGAGACATGCTCCTCAGAGCACAAACCAAGAATGTGGCTTGGCAAATGTGTGCCAGTTTGGCATCTCTACTGACAACACTCCTGTTTTCACCACAAATGATCAGGTAGGAAAAACCTGATTTCTGCATATCTGTTACAGAATGGAAGCAACTTGTAACTGAGTCTTAAGGAACCGGACTGATTTAACTGTTTTCAGTACCCTCAGCCACAGAGTGTAGGTATAGCAAAGAGTTTATCCCTCAGCAGCTCGAAGTATCAAGAGGGAATAACATGAAATTAGTCACCACAGCAGATCTCCAGTTTCCTCACCCTGCAAAAATAGACTATTTTCTAAAATGGTTTATAAAATTAAGATTTTGGCTGAAGTTCTCTCTAGATGTTCCCTGTGAATCTAGGAGTTTCCACAGAACTGTGTGTCAACAGGGAGACAAACTGTAGAGAGAAACAGCACCAAAAAATACACTACATGTCTAGGAAATACATTAAAGGATGCAGAGTTGTAGGGACATGGAAAGACTTCTGTCCTGATGTTTTTCTTTCCTCTCCCTGCCTTCCCAGTAAGCTGGTCTAAAGAAGGAGGAAGAGTTAACTGATCTTAATAAGATCACTATGTTTGAAGTAGTACGGTAGTATGAAGAATCAGACTACTACATAGGTTATACAGCATAACGAAGAAGATGAAGTCAGCAGTTCTAGAGAGGACACTTGGAATTTTCAACTTGCACCAAAAGCTTGTTAATCTGTTATGCACCCTGTCTTATTCGTGCGAGTCTTGACCAGTCTTAATAAAATATCCTAGCCAGAAGCTCAGGCAGTTGACAACCAGAATAGTCAACTTTAGATCCCTCTCTAACGGCACTCAATTTTCAGTGTACAGTGCTCATGTTCCAAAAAACAGAACTTTCTGACATACCTCAAGAGCCAGTTGCTCAAAAATCATATTTGCATTCAAGCATTAATAAATTACCACTGTGATGTGGTTAATGAAGAACAAAAAGCCTGGAGAGAAAGGCCATGAGCTGCAAAGGACTGAAACGAGATAGAAAGGGTAAGGTTTTACCATACCTAAGTGTTCACACAGCACCTGTTCTCCTCACTCCACTTCACATTAGAACTCCTAGACTCAGACAGATACAACACAGACTGCAGCATCCTTTATCTAACATGCACTCAAAAAGGAAAATTTATCACTTTCTTCTGTCACTAAGATTATTCATTTTAAGTCAGATAGACAGAGAACCTGGTAGACTGTGAGACCAGACTACAAAAACACAAGTTTTTTCTAGCACAGTTAATTAAAAAGTAAGAGAACCATATCTCTGTTTGAGGTGCCCAACACCAGAACAATTTTCATCTTCAGGCAGCAGAATCTGCAACAGCTTTTAGGGGTATTTTCTAAATAGCTAACCTTCCAGCTTCTGGTTTTCTTTTTCCATTCGAAGTAACAGAATTTGTTGATGGATGGCTTTTTTCCACAGACTTTGTAGTTCTTCTGAGTTTCTCCTCTCCCCAGTTTTATCTGGACCATCCTCATTTTGCAGTACTAGAACAAGAGGATCCTCCTCCAGGGGTGGAGCAAGAAGGGATAAGGGTAACAATTCACTTCCATCATGACCATCTGCAAAGAATCAGAAAGCTATTACAGGAAACTCAGATTGTTTGACATATTATGAAAATCTATGTCATAGCAGAACAAAAATAGCTGTCTTTCACATTCAGCAGTGATTTCCTGATTCCAAAGACAGAGAAAATGCACTACAACAGTAGAGAATTACTTTTTAAAAGTGCTTTGTTAACATTAATAAAGTTATATTTAAATTAAGTAGAGTTAGATAAAGGGTCACCCAGAATTTCAAACCTTTCCCCTGCAGCTCCTTCCAGTTACTACAAGACATTTATCCATAAAGCCTCCTTTACAGCTGAGCTTGTTTACTGCTATGATTTACCACGGGTTCAACATTAAAGATACTTTTTTTTCCATCTGCTAACTTGCACTACAGAGAGTGCTATAGCACTCTAAATATAGAGTTTGTCATTTGCCTACGTCCAGCCAAACAGAACTTTATGAATAGCACAATTTCAGCTATTTCAGAGGTTTCTACCTTGAAAGGCTTAAAGCTGTAAGAATTATTAACACACTCAACAGGTGCTATGTGCACTACAAGGACAAGATATAAAATTTACCATTTTCTGCAAACACTTCTATTATGTACACATGTCAGGGTAAAATTTTTCTAACTGTTAAAAAGAATATTTTAGTCAGCAAGACACCTGTCTTAATTTCCTTGCTACAGCAGCCATGGCAGATTGCAATTCATTTAATTTTGATGCCCAAATCCTCTGTTTAAAGCAACAAAAATCTAAATGGTCTAAAGCCAAATGAGCACAACTGATCTCCAGCGAGGTTCTAGCATGAATATTGTACCACACTGACTCCCTTCTCCCTTTCATATTATCACACGTTGCAGTTCACTACAGTATTAATTAACAACTGCTTGTTTATTTTCTTTAAAAGCACACACAGACCTGGATGCTGCATCTTGGAAGGAGATTTATTCATAGGTGAAGCTACCTGCAGGAATATTCTCCGCCGCCAGGAGATGCGGCGAGGTGTGAGCGTGGCCCCCGCAGCATTTAGAGATTCACTGCTGCAGGCTGATGTTCTTTTCTTTCCCTCCCCATCACTGAAGGAAAGAGAAAGCAGATGGGGTATTTAAAGTCAGTATTCCTTGTAGGAAAAATAAACCAAACCCTTTATTAACTCTGTCTAATGCATAACCAAACCTGCAGGAGCATTTGTGGGGAAGCTTAAGAAGGCAAAGATTGCTGTGTGTGAGCTTCACCTTGAATATTGAAGTGCCCAATTGATTTCTTGTAGCACAGTGCTGTGAAGTTTGCACTATATACCACCAGGAAGCATTCATAGCATTCATACAGGGCTCAGCTGGAAGCTCAGAATAAAAGCTTAACTTTTTGAGAAGCTAAGAGAGAAACACAGTAATACTTAGCCTCTAACTTTGATAGCAATGGGTTTTGTTTTGCCATAGATCAGTCTTCTGGAAGCAATCTGATGTAATACCCCTTAAAGCAGAGATGGTGCTCCAGTGGAGCACAACACTCCATTTAGTGTCATTTTAAATGTCATGCTGAGCTCACAAGTGAATATTTAATTGGAGACAACGTTCAGCCTTCTCATATAGTCTCTTTCCTAAGCTTCAAGAAATGGATGCTTCACTTGGATAACTGGGGACACATGTCCTCATGTTTCATTAGCTGTAGGAACAGACACACTGCAGAGGGCAGATCTTCTCCCCAGCTGCCACATAGAAATACAATTGCACATTAATTTTAATAGTATTTTATGCTGCTGGAAGAAACAAGGAAAGGAGACAGGAAAGCTTACTGGGAGGACACACCAAGTACACCTTTCTACTGACCACTGCCAGAGAAAAAGAAAATTAGCTTTCATAAGTACTTGATCCACTTTCAGAAATATTTCAGAATTTTGCATTTGTAGTAGTAAATTAGGTACACAGATATTGTATAACAAGGGGCACATTGATTATCTGCCACAAATCCTTCTATGTAATGTCAACAGCACAAGGCAAAATTATAAGCTTTTAGGAAGAGAGCATCAAACAGGGGGAGCTGTTTCTGCAGCTTCACCTTCATCAAAGGGAAAACTGCTGTATCAAAACAGTAGTTACACTTAAACCTTCATCCTGTAATAAATTTTGATGCTATAGTGCAAGGATCCTAAAAAGCTATATGAAAGGAAAACCCAACATGTTCACTATGTTTGTAGTGGGGAGGCAGTCACAGGTGATTGCAGTTTGCCAGCTGGAGTCCATCCCTCCACATGTGGCTTGCACAGAAGAGATCTGCAAGAGAGGACTATGAAGTTTCAGCCACACCAGTCTAGCAGCTACACTGTCTTAATCAGCACTTCATAACTAAAACTCCTTGCTGAATGAATATGCTGAATTCCCCAAGCTAGGACTGGCCTTTTTGGTGACCAAAGCTGTCACTATGCTAATGATCTACAAGACCTCCCTGATATTTGTAAGCCTGAGTGACCAACTGGACTCACTGTCATGCCAAGGTATCAGACCCTTCTTCCATATCCCAGCAGAGAAATAGCCATGACTTCCAATTCACCCACACAGCACAAGGCACCAACCCCTGCTCTCCTCTAAGAACAGATCTTCTTGCTGGGAGCCCTGAATGACACATAGTCTGAATTGTTCTCCTAATTTAGCTTCCACAGTGCCTCCGTTCCCTGTAGCATCACACTACTGCTAGGTGGTCTCAGCCTGTCCCCATGTTGCATTAACCTAAACAGCAAGTGTGACAATCTTCTTTGTCTAACTCTGTGTCTTAATGATGGGTAACCACTGCTTGTGTAGCCGAACACAGACTACTTAGACTATAACACTAATTCTGAACCTATAGGTGCTGTTTTTCCAGGGTATTTCAGTCCAACAGCTCTTGGAAATGGGATACTGAGTTTGGATATATATATAACCCTAACTTATGTTTCTATAAATACCTGTAACAGAACTACTTCTTACTATTTCAAGTCTTACATATAATCACATGTTATAACACAAAAACTGAGTCATTCCAAGGCTTACTAAACAGACACTATGTAACAAGGGAATGAAAAGTTCTTTTCTACTGCTATGTACAAAAATCTATGTTCAGCTGCTGCACCTCTAGACAGTCCTAGGAATAGTGTTCAGTTTACAGTAGCAAAATTCACAGAAAAGTCAGAATAAGAAGGTGGCTATTTTTGAGTATGAAACTAGCCTCTTTACACCATTTGAGTCACAGAGTTTACATTGGGATGAACTAATCACATACTCTACCTCATGAAGCGTGCAAATCATACAGTTCTGAAGACCTGTATTTTAGTTGTTAAATCCTCCTTTCACAAAAATCTCCTGTCACTTTAAGCAACTAATATTAATCACCTTCTCTTTCAAAGAGCTGTCCAATAAGTGATTAGAGGAAAACTTTTGCAAGGTTCAGAAACACACCTTGTCATATTAACCCAGGAAAACACCAAGATTTAGGAAAGGCAGGGTAGAAAGGGAGCAAAGAGAGTTTCCTCATTTCAAGACAGACAACTTCTAGCTTAGAATCAGATCTGAAGATGTGAAACAATACCCTATAGAGCAAAAGCAGGAAGAAGTCAGAGTAAAATGGTAGTGTCTCCTGCCCTAATGTAACGATTCAGGAGGCTGGTGCAAAAACCAGTTTCTCTAAACAGGGTGGGGGTAAAGAAAAATAATTAGCTATCAGCTCCCACAAAAGATGTTTATTAATATGAGTGGAGAGATTAAGTCAAAGCATCTCCAAAACAAGAAAAACAACTTCTTAAATAGACTTCAGTCATTGCTACTGAAAAGCAGGGTGGAGATTTCACTATCACCTAACCAGACATCTTAGGTGGACAACTGCTTGTCTACATGGGAAACATGCTGCAAGGTCACCTAGTGGAAGAATCTCTGGAAGAAGATAACAATGCAATACTCTGTATTTAAGACATATGCATCACAACTCAGTTTGGAGAGTATTGGTTCTCTGAGGAGCTACTTACCCTACACTTCTGACCCAAGCAGAAATCAAAACACATTTATCAGCTTGTATACAATAAAAAATGAACAGCTGTAAATTCAATATAAAGCCTCAATTATTTCAGTGTCTACTTTCATCCTTAAGCTGTTCCAAGCAATGACCCAAATATTCAAGAGTACTGATCATGCAAGGTATTATCCCAGGTAACTGCAACTCAGTTTCATCCATTCACAATTCTATCAGGTCATGCAAAGCATGAAGATGAGACAGCTAGTTCAGGGGAAGAAAATAAAAAGGAAAGAAAGAAGAAATCTCAGAAAATTGGTCAGATTACAAATATGCTTATTGCTTAGTTTTAATTATCTAAATCTCTTCCCAGAACTGTTCTTTAAAATGCTCCTGAAGACTGATATTTTTTAAAAAAACAATGCTACCCCATTTCTTGTGAACTCTTTACATAATACTTACCTGAATTATTTTGCACTTGAGTCCATGAAAGCCAAATGACTTGTGAATAAATATAGTTGTTGCTCATGCCACAACTTGTATTTTTCCCCATTTTGCTTTCATTGCAACTTCTTTTCTTGATTGCTCTAAGTAGCAATTGAATCAATGCAACTTACTTTGCAATTTGGAGGCTGAGATGGTACAAAATCCCCCAGATCAAGTACAGAATTCAGCTTCCCAGCACTTAAGCTGGCAGACACCTATAAGTAAGACTAATACACGAAGCATTCCTCCCATCTGGGAAGAAGAAAAACCAGTTTCTAACAGATTACACCCCCTTATTGGTTCTCACTCTTGTCATATGTTTTTTTTTTTCTGAATAATTACTTTCTGCCATTTTGTTTAAAGAATATTCTCAATTATTTTACTTCCTTCATGAGACACGAAGCTGTTTTTTAAAAAGGAATCTGTTCAAATTCAGCTTAAATGATCCTTGCACAGCAACACAATGAACAGAGAAATTGTGGGCTAGTCAAACCTACACTGAAGGTTGCTCCATTTTTAAATGTGCTGCTTCTTTGTTTATATTAATAAACCTTGTTTGCCTTTATGTTGACTAGATATTTTAAATCCTTATGTGCAATTCTGTCCAATGCTGTACAGCATACTTGTCAAAAATCAAGACTATGTGGAGAGCATTTCCATCCTAGCCTTCTCTCCTGAGAAATGTATTGACAACGCCATAGAAACATTCTGAAGGCACCTATAAAGACCATGTTGATGCCAAAATTTTCTATCCTGTTCATTCCTTAAAGAAAGGAACTGTATTGGGGGCTGTAACTAAATGATCTTTATGTTCCCTTCCAACCCAAACCATTCTATGATTCAATAAAAAAGCCCTAAAAAACAAATGAAAACGGACAAGCAAACAGAAAACAACCAAAAACACCCAACAAAAAATTCCATGCCGTTCTGTAGCATTTTCTTTGCATAAGCCCATCTGACTGCTACAATTCAAAAACCTTCTAAAATTAATTCCAGCTAAAACTGTCTCTGCTCTTGCACATTGAAGTTTGCCAGAACACCAAGAAAAGCTGCCTGCTGCATCATGTGCAATCTCAAAGCTATATGATAAAGAAGTGAGACCCTACAGAATTTTTCTGCAGCGTAATAGGAATTCTACACTTCAGGAATGTGTAGCAACCAGGATTATTCTGGAAAATGCACCAAAGTTTTAATTAGGGTTCCTAACAGTCAGTTTGTAGTCTGCAGACTGCAAAGCACTGACATACCGTGCTTAATTCCAACCTATTTACACTCACTCACATGAGAATGCTAAGAACATCTCACACTGATCCTACTGGGATAGATGGTGGACTTTCCTGTCTTGAGAAAAAGAACCAAGGCAAAAAAACCACCAAAAAAACAAAGAAGAAACCCACAAGAAAAAACCACAAAAAATGAGTAAAAAATGAGTAAAAAATGAGCAAAAAATGAGAACTTCCTCTCACTCCTAAACCTGATGGCATAACATACATTTGCATGTTTTGGCCACTGTCAGTTGGACAATATATTCCATTCTCCATTGGCCATTGGATGTGATGGATTACCTCAGTGACCCTTATCACATCAGTGTTATTCACTCAGCACTTCTTTCTGACTATATCTGTTTTATTCCCATCACAAACTCAACTAGATGCTAACAGTGCACTCTTGCTATTGCAATTTCCTCCATGACAGTCTGGGCCCAGTTGCTCCCAGAAAGACCTACAGCTAATGAGATCCCATTTTCACAAGAGTCTCCATACAAATTAAAGATCAAATGATATCAGAAATGTGTATACTGTAAAACCTAAGTAGAAACATGGTGGTCTTCTGGGAATTAATCTTTGAAGATCTCCCCACCCCAAGAGTTCAAAACTCCACTATAATGAAACACAGTACCTTGACCTGCCTGCATAACCAATTCCAATCTCAGAAATTTCAGTTTGGAATTATCTGGCATTAAAATACAGTTTTCATACAATACTCAATCCTTCATTCCCCAAACCGGAAAGCTGAGTTTAATGGTATCCATTGCCTGTACAAACTGAGCTGGGCATTGGTTCAGCTTGGACCAACTCTGCTATCTAAAGGGAACACAGAAACAAAGCTGGACTGGAACCCAATTTAGAGGTAGTCTGTAAGAGACAGGTTTGGGAGTTTATTGTCACTTGTCATACCTTTGGTTCTTCCCAAATTGTCTTCAACTGGAAGTTATTTGTTAATTCTCTCCAAACATCTCACAGTTAGTATCATCCAGTTTACTTGGTGCTTCCCCTTCCTCATGCACAGGCATCCCACATTAGTACTGTAGAGTCTTCCCATTGCTTTTTTCTTATTTTCACATGCCAGTGATCATGGCAACACATGCTGGTTTGCATTCAGCAGAAAAAGCATAAAATTGGCATAACACTCCTAAAATCCATTGCATTTCATGTGACAAACCAATGCAGCAGATTTGCAACACTGCAACAGAAATAGGTGACAGCTACTTGATGTCAGCATAGAAGCCTTTAGTTTTAACAGGTTTTTTTATCCAAAAGCCTGTTTGCCCATTTGCATCACGGAAGTCTGTTAGAAATGCAGGAGCACAAGGCAGAGTGGGAGAGATGCCATGTGCTGCATTCCACTGGGAATCCTGCTGTTAAGCTAGTGGCACTGGAGAACTAGGCAGGAGACAATGCTCTCACCTCTTGGAAAGGTCACTTTCTGAATGCTGGAGCAACCTTCCTGAGCCCTGGTAAAAGGTTTTCAGGAAAGAAGGGGCAGAGAGAGAGGAGGGGAGACCAGGTGAAGCAGATTCACTCTCACTGAGAGCGCGCCGAACCCCGACCACAGGACTGTGCAGGCAACAAGAGAACACAGCAGATGGGTCAGCACGGATTTGGATACAACAACAAAACCACAAGACTAGAGACTCTGGCCAAATACCTCATCTTGGCTTACATTAGCTTTGCTTCCCAGAAAATAAAATGTACCATGTGCTTCCCTGGGGATATTGATTTTGCTGTTATAGAGGATTTCTATTAAAAACTTTTCAATGACATTGCAGAACAGGAAGACCACCTTATTTCTTTAGCTTTATTTATTCCCAAAGCAAATGCAGAAAAAAGAATCTCTTAAACATTCAGAAAATACTCCCAGAAACATTCTTCCAATAATATGAACTGCATTGTTTCTTTCCCTTCAGTTTTCTTTTGCTTTTGTAAACAACACATTAGGAAGCAGAGATTATTTAAATGCAGTCTTTCTGGATAAATTTTTGTGAAGTAATTAAATTAAGAAAGGTAGTCCTACTCCACAGTTAAACATTACTTAGTAGTAGTGACAAGTATTGGAGGGGACATGAAAATAAATTCAGTTTCTTTTGCTTAACATTTATGACTAATCCTCAAAAGGAAAGAATGAAAAATCCCAGCTTAGTACCATGCTGCTACAAACTGTTTTGACTAAAAATCTGCTGATGCCACTTAATCAGTGACTTCTTACAAGTTATTACAAAGTAATGTAGTCAGCAAGTCCTTCACTTTGAACTGTCAGAGTTTCCTGATTCCACACAACACAATCAGTGGAAAAAAAGTTTATCTCAGAAAAAACCACATTATTTATCTCTCTAAAGACACAAGGTAAGAAAGGCTAATTTCTTACCCTTCACTCCATTCCATTCTCCCAAAACAGAATAAATTTTTTTGCATTCATGCTGATATTTTAATGTAGACATCAAACGGGTGATAAATTACTATTTAAAGCCATTTTTAGAAAGAGCCCACAAAACATAGAATTATAGCCAAGCACTGAAAGAGACAATAGGTTGGAGAATGTGATCCTCCAACAGAAAAAAATTCACCTGAGTGAAACCTGGACCTGAGTTTTGTAAAGGGCTTGGAGTCTGTATAGTCACTTACAGCCAGCATAGAGGAGAAAAAGAAGGCACAACCAAAGAGGCCCACAATGAGCTGTGGGGACCTCTTCTGCTGAGTGAAGGAACTGTGTTCCATATGTTAATAGCTGGAGAGTCTCCAAAAAGGAAGCAGAAAGAAGTTACAGAGGGAAGCTACAGAGGGAAGCTCTGAAGAAAGGCAAATAGGGAAATCACATGCCTCACAGTTCAGTGGATGTGTTTAACTTTTATGTCCTTTTGCAACACTCCTCACCAGTTTTAATTCTGGATATACTCTCTGTGAGATTTGATTAACATAGCTACAGACACTTGAAGCTGTTAGTGCCTTTTTCATCCTGGCATAAAAGTTTCAGGCTGCCATCTCTGCCGCTTAAAGCACTGAGGGTCTCTTTTCCAAAGGGTCTGACTAACAGGACTGCCAAAAAGGCTCAGCTCAGAGGTGACAAATAAATAAATAAATAAACAGATTGGTGCTGGCATCTGACCAAATCATCAGTTTGATGGATTGATGCCTCCCCCGAACCACTAATTCAAGGACAATTGAGTTACTGCAAAGTACCTAACTACTCAGAGGCAGAGAAGACAGGCTGAAAACAAGTAAATAAATGAAAAACCAACCCGGGAGAAGTGCAGAAACCAACCTGAACCAAGCTCCTTACGTATTGTGTCAGCAGTAGGGCTGCTGCAGCCTCCAGAAGGAGAGAGGCGAGTGAGGCTGGAGCAGGGGGACAGCAGGGGACGGCGGGCAGGTGGCACGGCGCGCCCGGACTCACCTGGTCGCCTCCACGCAGTTCTGCCGCAGCAGCGGGGAGCGGGCGCTCTGGGACCTGCCGTTCTGGAAGGTGATCCTGCGCCTGGCACTGGAGGGCGGGTGGCTGAAGGTGTGAGCACGCCTCCTGAACTGAGGGGAGTCCGAGCCTTCCTCGGGAAACGTCTGCCAGGCCGAGGACACGGGGGACGCCGGAGGAGTAGCTGGCGGGGAATCGCCCGGAGAAGTGTCCTGAAAGGAAGTGCTGGCGGAGTAAGGCCCGAGTGCCCCTACGAGAGCTCTCGCTTAACCCACGGGCAGCCAGCGCCGGGGCACCAAAGCCTCTCCCCCTTCTGGGTCATGGCCTATTGTATGCTAATTATCACCCAAACCAGACATCCTTTGATAGCTCGCTCCAAACCAGCAGCGTCCTTCTCCCAAAAAGTGAAAGCGAAGAGAGGAATAAAACTCTATACGCAACACAAACATACTAATTACTCCAGGCATCCTCTCACAGGGATTGGCATTCCAGCTACCAGACCTCTGTCTCTTTCGGGAAAACACAGGAATGGAAAAGGCCAGGGAAACTGCTTTTAGCTAGTTTCCTCGACATATCGCGAGCATACTTCCTGTACCGTCACAGCAACATCCTGGAAGAGAGACTGTTATTGCACAGCCAGTTTGTGAGTAACTGCAGCAGGAAAACCATAACAGAATCTTCACCTCCTGGGAAAACCAGTAACCAATCCTCATGTGAAGTAAAACTTTAAAAACAGGAAATAAAAAGAAAGTGAACAGAGTTCCGCCCTCTTGCTACCATACAGCATCCCCAACAGCTGGGCTTAGGTCAAAAATTCTTACTTCCCTAAAGCAAATATTACTTACAGAAAAGATTCTTCACCTTCAGAGCACTTCCTTTTGTTGAGACATGACCTTACTTAATTACCTCAGTAAAACAAGGCAGAAACCAGAAATTCCTTGCTTTTTGTAAAAGCAAGGGAAGTGTAGGAAAAAGGACTTGCAATCAGATTAAAGCTAAAGCTTCAAGTCAACATAAATCCCAGCTTTCTTACACCCTCTGCCTCCCAGTGGAAACATCTTTGAGTTTCGTGAGTTGATTTGCTTTGTTCTACTTCCTTCAAATTAAAGCAGAGTGCCATGCTTACGCTCCACTGACAGCCGTGCATGAAAAGGCCAGCTTAGCTAAGCTCCTTACGTACTCTGTCAGAAACCAGGCTGCTGCAGCGCTCAAAGCTGTCCACGCTTCCCAGGCGGCCTCGCATTCTGTTGGCTCCCTGCGACAAAAAAGGCAAGAAATTTACTCTGGTCTTTTTCTGAAGGTTAGGCAAAGATGGCAACACCTGTGCAGATGAACACAGGACAGTTCAGGCATGTGACGTGTCTGACATGAGACCCCAGATCATGGGTCAAGCATGAGACTTTACAAAAAGTGACATCTTTAGCTGGCCAAACTGCATCTTCTCCCACATTGCTTCCAGGAGTTTTAAACCTGCAGCTCTATTGTTTGAGGCAAGTGAGTATTTCCTGACACTTCTGAGGCAAAATAGTTAAGTCGGCTCAAACAGCTGAGTTAAAAAAATCCAGACTTCAGTACTGTGCATGCACTACTCCTGATGGATGCATCTGACACACTACAGTCCCATGAGATGCAGTTTATCAATATCTAAACATTACAGACAAACTATATCCACCTGGGAAAAAGGAGTAAAAGTACTAAAACTGGGGAGAAATGCTCTCTTGGCAGCAAATCCAGCCAAATACAATCAGACAAGACAAGACTCTTCATTTAAAATGCAAATAAACCTGATGCAAATTTGCTAGAAATTATGCTAAAGGATCCTTGCTGAATTTGTAACAGTCCTTTAGTTTCACAACGAAAAGCAATAGATCCACAACACCTTTGACTAGCTTTCATTCCTAATGTTAACTCCCTGGTGATGTTTGCTGTTGAACACTTCTGACTGCTGAAACATGTTGTTTTCAGTACTTTATCAGGAGAAAAATAGCCTAGGTTTTAAGAAAACTATAAACACAGGTCCTCTTGGTATGCTTGCAACTCCAGGGGAAGTTTTGCCAACATCATCAGAATTTATTTAGCCTACTTTTTCCTGGTAAGAGTTATTTTCAAAACTTAGAGCATTACCAATAAATACTCTGCCTGAAGCATCTTTTCACTGAACCTTTCAAAAAACCAAGAGCAAAGTATAAGTTGGAAGTTTCTCACTACCTTTGAAGATGTACACTTTTGGCACTGTAAGAAGGACTTTTTGGTTAAGAAAGAACAACAACAGAAGAGGTTAGTGCATCATGGAGTAGAGGAAATCTGTTCAAGAGGTCAAAGAAAGGTTATATTTATTCCTCTGAGGTACCTCATTAAGATGCCTGTTTTTGGTCCAAACCTCACAAAAATAAGATAAGTCCAGCAAAACAAACAAGTGAAGAAGTGACATTCCTCTGGGACTATGTGAAGCCAGGGCACAGAAACCAGCATGTTTCCTAAAGCAAGTAGTGAGTGGCTTAAAATGCCACTTGATGCTATTTACCTAGCTAAAAAGCCATCCACTTAAAGTGTTCCTAGATACTGGTTACTACATACTTCTTTCTTTCTAACTTTCCTAAGATTGAGGCTATCTAAAACACTCCCCAACTTATACTGACTTCTAATTGCTATTTTAAAATTTTTCTCTATACAAAGATGCTGAATGCTCCTTTAAAAAAAACCAAAACTAAACTAATTTCTTTTTTGGTCTCTCTGTTACTAAATGTACTTTTAAATAAAGATGGCAAAATTAGCTCTATTGCATTAATACCATCTGCACCTGGCTTAAGGAAGGAAAAACAACTACACCAATAGGTATTTAGTGCTTCAATACCTTTAAGAATTAACCATGATGTGTTAGGCTTGTTGTAATAGCCTGATGAACAATAAGAACTACAGTCATTGTGTATCACATGTATGCACATAACACACAGCACACCTACACAGAGGTACTTGTATGTATGTGCCTGCTTTAAACAAACAATTTGTGGTTGAGCTGCACTCCAAGTAATTTTTCTTGGTTTTGCATTGTGTAACCTTTAGGTGGAGCTGCAAGGATGAACCCCTGTGTGTATCATGACTCACTGCAACATATACTGCTGTTCCTAATATACTGCTGTCAAGGTAAAGATGAGACTACCTTTCTGACCACCACAAATCCGCTTCATAAACAGCAAACTTTAAATGGCCCTAATTCAGACTCAGGTGTCCTCTGCTCTTGACTGAATCATGGGCTGTGGTCGAGCCTTATATTATAATATGTAGCATGCCTCAGTGGCCCCGGTGAGAAGAAACATACTATACTCAAAAACCCCTAATATAAGAAACTTCCCTTCAGAGATTTTTCAGTTTAAGCAGTGTATTTCATCTAAATAACTTTTCTTTGACATGACTGGAATGCCACCATGGCTGTAAAAGCTTTATTTCAGTGATCTTCTTCCAGAGCCACCGCAGGATTAGTGACCCACCACTAGATCACTTGCCAGTCACATGTCCCTTAGATGTGGAAAAGAAACAACACATCAAAGGCATGAATATAGCTGTCACTATTTGATAATATTCCAAACTGCTGAAATTACCCGAATTTTCTGACTGCCATGACTCTTTTGCTCTCTTTTACATTCAGTTACTCTCTCTCTCTCTCTCTCTCTCTCTCTCTCTCTCTCTCTCTCCATATTCTCTAGTTTGTAAAATCTGCCACACAAGAGAGGTCAAATTTGACCAGGAGAGCTTAATGCTACTTTCAGTCCTAGATTAAATGGACACCTATCTGTAAGTTCTAAGGATTCTCTCTGGCTAAGAGTATTCTGTTTCCTTTATAGGGAAGATCCATGGCATCCTACATTTGTAGGTTACTTTATGACACATCCGTGTAAGCTGTAGGACAAGTGAAATTTAGTGCTTTTGAAGTTGCTAGCAGAAGGAACTTAATGTCACTGGTCCAAATTATCCCCCACTCAGCTCATCACATTTCCTCTGTAATGACACTAGTGACTGCATCCCAGGCACACAGCCTTCTTCAGATACTTCTCTATATGCCTCTTGTCTGACTCACTCTTCTGAGTGGAGGACACTAAGCAAAACTTGCCATTCAGGGTTCTTTACCAAAAGACTACTTAATGTAAGAGAGTTCCAGTGATAATCTGCAATTTCACATCATATCTGGCTAGGAACATCAAAATGAAGATCAACTCACTTTTTAAGACTATTGCTTTTTTTCCCCCCTGCAAAAGGAACGTTGTTACAAATTTCTAAAGATTCTTAGTGCCTAATATGAGCAATTGTAGCTATGAGCTGGAAGGTATTACTTCTCAGAATAGAGAGATTTCCCATATATGCAAGGCAAATTTATTCACACTTTGCAAAACCAATTAAGTGTCTCTTTATGGAATCATGCAACCATCCTGATTGAAGTTTATTCCGAAACAACATATCCAATAACACTCAGTTGGGTCTCTTGCCACCTACAATGAATGTTCATTATTCAGAAATTTGTCTTTTTTCCTCTCAATATGTATGGCCTTACAGTAAACTTTCTAGTACAGCTAAGTCACAATCAACCCAGCTGTAACTCTCAGATTTCACAACAGGGATATTGCTTCATTAAGCATTTATCAGACTGAGGACAAAACAAAGAAAAATCTGATAGGTCTTTACTGTCAAGGATATCTGGGACAGCTTATGATAATGAGTTGTTAAACTTACCCTTGAGAAGATATTTTCCAGAGAGCTAGTCAAGGATTTCTTTGCCTTGTTTTTCAGAATGTCAAGTTTAAACCGGCCACCACTGGTGGTGCTTTCTGGAATTGCACTGTTAGAAATGACCTGTTGAAATGAGCAAGGACACTCTTTAGCTTTGGCAATTATTTTTTTATTTGTGAAGACTATTTCCAAAGACTAGACCTGAACCAGGTTACATAAGACAAAGTATCTTTGGCCTTATTTAAAAAAACACCACAAACATACTACCGTCCTTCCAAAAAAAATCCCCAAACAAGAAACCAAAACAGTCTCCCAAACAAACAAATCCAAACTCTAGTTAAAGGCATATTCCATCCCAAAGACTATCTTGTAAAAGTACACCAATTTAACAATACTGTCGCCCAATTCCTTTGGAAATTCATAGTTTAAACTAAAACCAATGCCCTCTTCATTCCTATTCTTCCTAGATATTACTGCTTGGGCATAGGGATTAAAGGAGAAAGAAAAAGAAGAATTACCCTCACGCTATAAGGAAATACGGACATAAAATTAATTGGTTGTCTTTCTTCTTCTCGTGTCTCCTCAACTTATAAAACCCAGGTGAGCCACTATAAATTAAATCAGATTTCTTTTCCTGTACACTCCTTTCTTAATTATAATACCCTGCTTCAGGTACTCCTGAAGAAAACTAGCAGTGGTCTTACAAGTAATTAAGACAGCATTTTAATAGGGTGGGAAGGGGTGGAGGAATAATACAAAACCAAGCTTTACCGACGGTGCTTCACCAATGTGGATGTGCGTTTTCTGCTTAGTCTCACAGAGCTGACGGAGATGTAAGATCACAAGCTCATTTTCTTCCTGGTCATTGTCAGGCTTCATTTTCTGTCAGTAACAGCAAAGAAAGGAGTTTGTCTTTCAAGTCATGATTTGCTTATTTTTCCTTCCTATGCAGGTATTCCTTGAAATACTGATACAGCAAATGCCAGAGCATTATTATGTCAAAATCTGTGTGCCTTCACACTCCTAAGCAAGATAGAACAAAAACTGAGAAATGTTGCAGGCTGTAGAGAGAAGGGAGCCTTATGTCTGTACATTTTGTTCTCTAAGACTGTCTGTTACTATACAGCCTTCTAAGTGGCATAAGGAAACCAAGCCACTCTATTCTTTAGGAATCCAGAGAGGAGCACAGCCTTTGGAAGCCTAAATCATTGTATACTTCATCCACTAGAATACATCGACTTACATCAGAATGTTGTGCCAAAGTAAGTCAAAAAAGACAAAGTCTGAAAATACTGGACGTTTTCCTGATACCTGCATGTCCCTCCTGCTCTCATCCTACTCCCAACATCATTTTCAAGCAGGGAAATGTGTTTACAGATGAAAAACTAAGCTCAGAATAAAAAATATACTCTTACGTAAGAACACAGAGTATCTGAGCAAATTTGGGAAACAAAACTTTTCCAATAGCAGTGTATCACACATGAGGTTAAGTTGGAACATTCTATTTCAGCATGACTTTTGTTGCAAAAATAGCAAATTCTAGATCAACTACACAACAAACCAAATAAATCTAAAGCAAAAATACCTAGTCCATTTTATCATGGACTTTTTCAAATTAGGAAGAATGGCGCCTAAGGAATTACCTGAACACGTTCAAAAATGTCTGCTTGCTCATTGTCAGTTAGCGATGACAGATGTCTCTGAATTACAAGTTTGGCTCTTGGTGGATAGAGTCCTAGGAAAAGAATGGACCATTAAAGATTCTCAAATGATCTCTCAAAACACTTTTGAGCAAAATGAAGTAGAAGATATACACCTTCATTTGAGTTTATACAGGTTAAATGTATGACAGTTCTATGCCCAGTATATACGTGATACAGAATAATTGAGGTTTTGCTAAACCACATGGCTTTGTCTCCTTTATTTAACAGCAAAAAATACAACCAGCAGCAGCTAGGTGGCTGGCTCCTGGGTAAAAGGTTGTGCTCCCTGCCCCACCAATGTGTTCTGTCCTAGTTCCAAGAGATCACTGAAAGCTGGAAGCCCGACAGCTGTATCGGAGAGGAGCGAGAAAGGAACAGGTCAGGGTTATAATGGGGGAGATACTTGGGAGTTTTCAGATGATTTTAACTGAAAAATTTAGATGTCTTTCTGCCCAAGGAAAGGATAGGGTAGAGGTCATACCAGAGAATTGAAGACACTTTTAAAAGCAAGAACAGCATAAAAGCCATAAGAATAAAGGAAAGAATTTCTGATATTCAATAAAGTGCACATTTTGTCACAGAGGCAATTCTTGGAAGCTACAAAAAATGTGAGTGAAAACAAACCCCTCGAACCAGGTGAAGACTTTTTTTTCCCATCTAAAGTAGATATCATTCATAGAAAATTGCAATCAGAACAAAGAAAAGGTTTTTTTCAAAATCACACAGCTTTAGGTTTGATTTAGCTAAACTTCTAGACTCAAAGAAGATGGATTTTTTAAAAAGGGACACTAAAATAAGTTTTTCATTCACTAAATAGAAAGTTTATGAAACTACTACTACAGTACTCTAGTTGTTGCCCCAAGAGAGATTTTATTTTGATACTGAATACTTTTCAAGTTACTTCCACTACCTTATACAGCAGCCTGTGTAGTTTATAATTTACAGAAAACTTTCCCAGCTTAGCTTTACTACTTCTGAATACCTGTTGTTAAGTCACAGCCTAGCAAAATTTCACCTTGCTAGGATTTTACACTTGGCATTTCATCCACCAGAGGGAAGCAACTGACAACAGTGACTTTCAATGACTGGGAGAACTAAATATCAAGCACCACCATAACCACACCAGAAAATACAAGACTATTTGCTTTTTGTAACATATTTGCTTTTTTTTGCATACAATACTTTGCAAGGACACATAGCAAAGTGACTATAAAAATAGGATCCTAACTTTTTTAGAAAATTTTATCTTGTAAGATTTTTTATATGCATTCTGGCATACTTCACTTCCAGAGAGTACTAAAGTTTGTCTATTCATACTTGAAGTTAAGTAGTTGCCTTAACTTTCTTTATTAGATATTAATATCCTAACTTAATAATTTATTTTCCCATAATACAACTAGATTTTGAAGTGTGTTAAGGAATAAACACAAAGAAGGAAAAAATAACCCCATGCAGGAAAGAAGGAACACACAGGAAAGAAAGATCCTTTTTGATCATGACTATCTTTTTGTGAGTCATTTGGAAAGCATGCAACTTGAGAGGAAAAAAAATAAAACAAACAAATGGAAGGTCAGCTGGTGGGTTTTGCTGCTCTGATCAAGAAAGGTATGATGATGAAAGAGTATGTATTTATAACAGAAGCTACACTATATTTTTTTGCAGCATCATTACTGCTAACACCACCCAAATACAGAGAATGCAAAATGAGAGTAAGAATTGCATACCGGGGTATTTTTTCCCTCTGCTCTTACATCGTCTAAGTTATTCATCTAGAAAAATCAGCAAAGCACAATCAGAAGATAAACTCAGCTGCTACCTTCAATTCTTTCACAAAGTTTGTGCAATGAATGCATAGGGCAGGCCTCACACAGTTTAATCTGCGTCTTGGCACTTTGCAGAGCTGCAGCAGTGCTGAAGGCTTGCTTCAGGGTCAGCATTACCTCATCAACCTATATGGGAAGGAGATAAAAGAGCAATAAAGAAAAATGCATGCCAAAATTAGATTTATAAATCACATCTCGGGTGTTTTACAATTAAAGAAAAAGTCAAAACCATACAAACCCATTTGCTGTTTTCTAAAGAGATCAAGGTTGAATTCCCAGCTTTCTGCCTTTTCTGGAGATGATCACCATCTTTAAGTTCTGCCAGACAGTGTCATTTTGATGTCTAACTGCAACTACTCAAGATCACTGGGAAAGCACCCACTATTTTAAGAGGTTGCAAGTGAGAATTTTTGGCTTGAATACATGTTAAATAAAAAGCATTAATTTATTTAGCTTCAAATCTCTCCTATAAACATGTTCCCTCTTAACCTCTGTCCTCTCACCACTAAACCGTTTTAGCACCAATCCCACAGAGCCATCCCTGCTGCCAGACAGGAGCTCCCCACAGCAGTTCACTTCTCTCCTGGATGCCAGGCTGCCCAGCAGCTCCATTACCATCACTAAGTGCTGCTGGCCTGCCTTGCAGTCTGCCCTGGTCTTTTCTCTGCTGCTGCCACAAACGCAGCAGTGCTGTGCTCCCACACACCAGCACTAGAAAAGCTCAACTTGTACCTAAGAAATCTTGAGCTCACACCATTTCTCCACATTCATTCAAATAAGCTCCCAGACCAGGCATACAAAGCACTTGGAGTTCCTCTCTCTGCATTTCAGGGGAATACAATGCTCATTAAAAGCTGTTTGCTCAGTCCCAGCATCAGCAATGAAAGAGGGAGACAGTAGCTTGAGAACAATTTTAGGAACAAAATCAGTGTTCTTCTTCAGAATCAGGTCCTCACTCTGCTTGTTATTTTGTTTTATAAGCAGCAAGAAGCAAGCTGAAATATTTGAGACCAAAATCATCCAGTTTAACATTAAAAACATACAGACTTTTTTGAGGGCCTCTCACTTGGGAAAAAAAAAAAAAAAAAGTAGAAATGGAACCCAAATGTAGAAATTTGAACTAGTTTATGTCCCAGTATGTCTAGGTTTGTTTTGTTTGCTTTAAACCTCATGGTTTTAAGCATTACCAATAATTTCTGTGTGCTTTCTCTTCTTAGCAATAAAGAAGAACATTGAACAGTGAATGTCCATCTTGCAACATGGACTGGTAAGTTTTTTAAGCTGGCTACAACCCCTCTCCAATGCAAGATCCACAGAACAGTGCTAAGCATGTCTGGAAAGCTCTGCCCTGCCACAGTCAAAATGCCACCAGGATCTGAGTGATTGCATCTGAAAGTAGCTCAGGAATGTTTATTTCATACTGCAGAGTGGGCATAACCACACATATCAGTACTAGAACAAGCAAAGAGGTTCATAAAAACATGGGGGGTTTATACACCACTTAAGCCTATGAATTATGCGTGATCAGAGTTATCAATAGGTCAGATGTAACTTTTCTGTTAGTACAATGAAATTAGCTGATTTCATAGCAAGTTCCCATTTTGACAAAAATGCAGCCTCAGCTGCACATCTAGAGCTGTTCAAAGTTTTATTGATGTTCATCTATTTACTCTCAAGCAAGTCAGAGGATTAAGAAATTACATTTACAGTCAGTCAGAAAAGTGATTTTTAAGTTTATCTGAGAAAGAGTTAGCAGCTGTTACCAGTGCTATCAGAAACAAACACCTTTCAGAACAGGAAACAACTTCTTTTAAAGTGTCACCATTTTAAAATAAAAATGGAATAGTCAAGATTATTTCCTGTACGAATCTCACGCTATTAAGGTATCTGTTATCAGTAAAATCAGTGGCATCTGGAACTTCATTTAATTGATACATACTTTATACAATGTCCAGTGTACTTTTTTATAGTTATATGCATCCACAAATACTATGGTTTTCTTCTTCTGTGATCAGATGCTGCTATTTTCTTCTCTTGAGAAACAAAACAGACTACAGGAAAAAAGCTAAAGCCAGACCTAGGCTTAAGACACATGCAGGATCAGCCAGTAGTTTAAACCCTACCCTGAAGGGTATGTTTGGGTTTTATCATCAGCTTTGTTACTGATTCAATATGTCTTTACATTTTTAATGGGGAACTAAGTCTCTCAAAAGTTAGAATTGGACAGTTAATCAAAAACAGAGCCCATGCATGCTCACAGTCAGCATGTACAAACACACCCATAGGGATTTATCTATTTGTTATTGATACATGCATCAGCAGAGTACCAGGATATGGCTGTATATGAACAGAATGTACACATTTCCTATTGCAAATTTGCATGTGCACAGCTGACATCCTGCACCTGAGCAGATGTGACCACTGAGGCTCAGCTGACACAGCAGAATAACAGAGATCCTATTGTTCAGGAAATGCCTTGGAAATGCTCTGATGAAATGGTAGGGATCATTAATAAATACTCACCAGAGACTCACTTGCACACTGGAACACATAGCAAACATATTGGCTTAACCCAGGTTCCACAGACTCCCGGCAAATAAAACCAAAGTGATCGACATGTTTTATACCCTAAAACAGTTTAAAAACGGCATTAGTGGATTTCATAAACAGGTTTAGTTTACAAAAATTTTAATAACTATAAATGCATACCCCTAATGATCTATTTTACAAGTAGTATAATTTTTTTTAAATTGCTTTTTGTATTTAAGTTATATAAAGATCTTTATACAATCAAAACCAAAGTTATACAGCAATCAATTTGGACCAGAATTTATTCCACTAGCAAAGCTGGATTTTCAGAGAAGCAAACTAAAGACCACTGGACATAGGATTGGAGAAGCACCAGGGCAGCAGCAGACTCATGCTTTCCTGTAATACATGTTAGGACTACACTACACTACACACAAAAAAAAAAAAAAAAAGGAATGAATATACAGAATATACAGAATTCCAACTAAATTCTGAAATAAATTCTTTGAGACTGAGTTACATACCAGAAATTTCAAGACTTACTACGCGTTACTACTGACACATTTTTCTCAAGATCTTCGTATAACTTAGCTTGACAGGGAATGCTGCCTTGCTAAAAACAGCACTGAGAAGATCAAAGAAAAGACAGCTGCTTCCTAAGAAGCACTATATTCCCAGTCTCAATTCATGGAACATGACTCACTATTGTTAAAGCTTTTGCCAATGTTTTTATCATCTGAGTATGGTAATAGTAGATTTTCTCCAAATGAAAGCCTAATCCCTCAAGTTCAAATACAACAAAAATCAGAACACAACTGCTTGGATCCAACTCCAAAGAAAACACCTATATCATAAAAGAGAGGAGGAGGCAAAGCAACTTGCCTGTCACTACAGAAAACACTCTAGAGAAAATTGGAAAAATAGTACGTGACAGACTGAACATATTGTCACTACACACTGTGTTTTCAAAAACAAAATTCCAAAAGTCACATTTGTGTCACTTAAGAGGGTTGCTAAGATGACAAAAATGACATTAGTTGAACCATAGTCCAACTAATCTTGACTTCATTTTCTCGTGACATATGAAGTCTTCAAAAGCATAAAATAACAAAGGTCAGATATATTCATATGTTAATCCATAGAACAGTGAAGTGCTGACCTCTGTTTTGCAAGAAAATGTATTTATTAAAGGTGGTTTGGTGAGATGCCAGTTCCCTCCTTACTGACAGTGCCTGAACAAGTCTACTGCTGTCTTGACTTCTCAGACTCCACAGGAGAACATTTGAGGGGGGAGACAGATGTGACACTTGCCCTACTGAAGTGCAAATAGGACAGTATGTTCTTAAATCAACAGTACTTCCATCACATTTCTTTAAGACGGCAGCTTGAAGAGGTCATGGCAAAAGAGCCAAGTTTTCTGTTGTTCTGGGCTCCCTCAAGGGGAAGGCATGAAAGCCTCAAGGGGAAGAAAACTTCTACAGCTATTTGATATCTGAGTTTAGACTGCACACACAGAGGTTTATCATCAATTATGTCTGCTGCTTGACAATTATAAGGAGTGTGGATAATTATTTGAATGCAGCAGTTCAACCATGCTTAAGCTATAAAATACCTTTATTAGACCAGGCTATGAGAATCCAGAATGCAAATTGGCAATAACATCTCCTTTTCATCGTTGGAAGGACAAATATTCCTAAGCCACAGTCCCACAATACGTAGTAAATCACTGCTCTATAAATCCGTAACAGAGGAGCCCTGGGGCTAGCACCAAGTTCTTAAAGGAAGTACTAATGAGGTTTATGCAACCAGTGCTTAGTCTTGAACAAATTAATATTTTATTTCTATTGAACACAGAACCTCCTTGATTTCTCTAAAGTAACTGTTTCACATTAGAAAAAAAAAAAACAAACCAAAAAAAAAACAAACAAAATCCCTAAAGTATTGTGACTGCCTCTTTGAGTTAATGAAGAATACAAAAGTAACAGAAACTTTGCTCCAAATGAAAGTGAAGAGGTGGACTGAAAAACACCTCCAAAGCCCAACACACAGAATTACCTGACACTGTTTACTGTACAAAGTTATTTTCCTGAAGGAAAGTTGGGCCTTGATGGTTTTCCATGGTCTTATTGGTCACCATACTTAAAAGTCTGCAGAAAAAAGGTTGTTCCTGCTTAGGACTATTTTGTTTGACTATTATATAAGTATGTATATACAACCTAGGAGCCCAGTACCTGAAGCTGGTGTGTCAGTACACCCAAAAAGCAGGAGAAAACCCAAGTCATCTGCAAATTCTGCTCTCTATACCTCTGCTTTAAGAACCATTTTGATCTGTATTTATCATAAAGCTATTACTACACTGTTTGATTATAATTTCCCATTCTGCATTTACTTTAGCTTTTTTCCTCTACCGAAAGCAATACAATTGTAGTTAAAATGTACAGTCGATTTATGGACCTGGACCTTATAGCTGGTAGCTCAAGACACCACTTGAGTTATAAGTATTGCCTAATTCTTAATTTGTCTAGGTATTGGTAGCCCAGTCATGCAAGAGCAGACTTGTTATTAGCATTAAAATGAATGCACTTGGGGGTGAAATACAGGTTTAGAGAAGGCCAAAAGAGTATAGAATAATCATGTTTAAGAAGGCCTGAAATAATGATGTGGCATGGCAAGTAAAAAGAGATAATAAAGTAAGACCCCAAACTAAAAAGTGTCTGTAGTAACTGGTGCTGAACAAGAGCAAGATGGAAAGGTGAACATCTTAGCCTTGACATTTAACCTTACAAGAAATAATTATTTATTGCTGAACATAGCTAGGTACACCTATCGCTATATTCTCCAGAAGAAATGATGCAGGTGAACTGCTGCTTTTCTGAAGGGTTGATTTGATGCTCTCTTCCTTTCATTTTGAAGGCTTTCAGGAACTTACCTGCTCAGAAACAGTACACTCAGAGCATCCTAAATGGAGATTAAACTGCTTCCAAAAACATATCCAATACTCTCCCAAAGCAGAACAGTTTATACTTTGTTTGCTGACAGGCGATTGAAGTTGCTGCTATTACACAGCTCAGATGGTTATTTTGCACTCATCTTTTCTGGAAAAAGAATTGTACATTTCTTTTTTTCTCCTGCTTATAGACCAGCAAGACAACACAGCTGAAGAACAAATAAAATCTTTTTCTCCTGATGATCTACATATTTCATCTTATTAATGCTTACCTGAGAACATGAGGAGATATCTTTAAAATTCTTTTCAAACACAACAGATTTGGTATCTGGACTGATGAGGTTAACTTCAAACCTTCCAACCTAAAGGGGAGAAAAAGAAATCTAATTTATGACTGTCTTGGGGGCATAGTATTTGCAGCAACAAAAATGTCAGAATCTCGCCCTTTCTTGTTCACATAGAGTACCTTTTGGCACAATAGCTTACTCAGCAGGAGCAAGGGTGCCAGGGTGCTGTAATTCTGCCCATGTTGAGTAAGAATATTTCAGCAAAAACAATACACTCAGTTGAATAACAAAAACGACTTGGAAAAAACACAGCTTTTCTTCCCCTCCCCCACCCTTTTTCAAGTTATTTTAATCCAAAGATCACATGTTTGACAGACAATACTAAAACCTTTAGGAAACAATGTGGCTAAATTAAAAGTTGGAAAAAAATGGGAATTCTTGGTTTTTAAGTTATACCATAGATTAGCTGAGGAACTAAGATGATACTTGTTGGTTTGTACCAATTCCAAATGCGGAATAGTAGGTTCTGCAGCAAACTACCTTTCAACTTTCCCAAACTGCTTCTCAAGTCCATAGAATTTATTCTAGAGACCTCGGAGATTTTTTCAGCTAAATCCTTTTCATTACTAGTGATAAGCTGTGGCTTTCTGAAGGGCAGTACATTCTCACTTGAGTTATCATTTCCTCAAGAGAATAAAAACCAAGACTCATCTTTAAAACAAATGGAAAGACAAAATCCAGGCATTTAGCCCAGTGTTATTTTAAGGTCCAAAGATTTTTCCTTTTATGGGTCACCTCCTTTATCTGTCCTTCTGTTTTCCCAAAACAAGTTTCAAAGATGCGAAATGCACTTCAGGCAAGAGAAGAAATAACCATTGGAGTACGAAAGAAGAAGCCTTCAGTGCAGACATGTTTGAATACTCATCTAGTAAAGAGGAGACATTAATACAAATTATTAAAAAGAGGCTGGCTCAAACACAAGGCTGCTGAAGTCTAAAGCAAAGTTTTATCTTTTTAAGTGCACAAAAAAGAGGTTTTGTTTGTAGTCTTCCTTCATTCTCTGTTTGAAAGAATATTCAGGTTTTTCAGCTGGGTTCTAAATCTAACCCACACAGACAGTCTAGAACTACATATAAAATAATTATTTCACTGAAAACTCTTTTCCTTTAGGTGATTACTCCATAAATGAATACTTTTTCTTAAAATCTCCTTGAGCTCATGAGTTGAGGTGAAAGTTCAGCTACTTGTGTTCCAACCATTTATGAACAGATACAAAAATATTTATGACAAATCATGAAGCCATACTGGATCCATTTTACTTATCTTGCAAACTTTATCTCAAATTGCACAGGGTAAGAAGATAGGGTACGAAACCAACAGGAAATTGCCCATCCTGGAACACACCTGGAACAACATTGTCCTGTTCTTCTCAGAATCAGAGGGCTGAACGTGACTGGGAGCACTTGCATGTCTTCTGCGGGACTGTATTTTCAGGTTTGTGTCATGAACCTTTCTCTGCATCACTGCAGTGACACTGCTGCACCGGGAGCGGAACTCCTGCTGCTCGTCAAAGCCGGAGTCCTCCAAAATCCTCTCTGGAAAGAAGCCACGAGTGCTGGCCAGGTTGGTCAAGTTGGTCTGGCTGCCAATTGTAAACATTGCAGCACGCCCTGAAGGGCTGTTTGGGCTGTCCAGCTCCTCAAAAGGGCTGTCCAGAGGAGAAGCTGGCACGTTTTCTTCACACAGGGGCAAGTCCAAACTCGACTCGTTATTCCGCTGCTCGTTTAACAGTTTCAGGCGCTGGCGCTCATGAAGGCTGAATTGCTCTATGCAGTCATCAATGAGTGTGGAGGGAGCTTTCTTGTGAGCCACTGTCACCTTTCCACAGTACAAGACCTCAAATTTTTGGGAGTCATAGAAGGCATCTTCACTATCCTTACTTGGTTTGGCATCTTCTTTCAGTGCTGCTTTAGAGACTTGTCTTATGCTGCTGATGACATCAGGAACCTAAGGGGACAGTGTGAAAGGCCTTTTTAGTAACCACAAATGAGACAGCAGAGACAGTGATGCATCAAGTATTTGTTAAGGTAAGTATTTACACAAGCTATTTCTCCAGCAGAGTGCCACAAGCTTCTTGGCAAAGAATATAAAACCAGTAAAGTCTAAATTCTGTATGGACAATTTATGCAGTGGAAGCAGAGCAAATAATTTCCAACTTTTTTCTGGAACGTCTTCCAGTACATAAGATTTTAAATTACCAGAAGGTCAATTGGCAAATGTCCACATTGGGTTTTTTGTTTGTTTTTACTGAGACTACCTTCTCTTTTCCATTGTCCTCTGCCTACATTGGCATGTTTTACTGCTGCATTCTGTAAAGGGCCATCACTGTTCCTTTGCTTACATTTTGCAGAGACACTTATTCTATTCTTAAGACTGTTTTGGGAATAGTTTTATGGAAAAGAGACCAGCAATCTCCATCAGTTTCAACTGACAGTTTTGGAATAAAGGTAGCAAGAATACAGACATTTTACTGAACTACCATGTACAACTGCATTAGGTCTCACTTATTATCAGCTACAAAAACCTTGCCCCACCCATCCCATAACACAGTTCACCTTAAGATCACACCTCCCTACTGCCTCAGTCATTGTGCAATTAAGCAGCACACACAAATCTCTCTTCTCCTCTGCACAGACCCCTCCTATGCCTTGTAGGGCCAAACTGCACATCTCCAGAAGAAACTCACAATTTCAGCCCTGTATCACAGTCTTTCAAAGACACCTAGTTCTTCCTCTATTTTATCCCAATCACCCTGGGAAGAGTCTGCTTTCAGTACCAACATATTTAATATGCAAGCTCATTCTTCATTTTGGCTTCACAAAAGAAAACAAGGACTTCCCCAACTCTACTAACTGTAGACCAGAGTGGTAATAGCTGCTCTTTTGACAGTACCTACTCTTCTGAACCACACCTCTTTCCCATATGTCCCATTTTCTCTAGAAGTATAACAAAAGCCATCACACTGTGTGCATTGGGGAAGTTACTAGTGGCAATGAGATAAAGAGAGAATATCAATCTAATTTTCTTTGCAAGAGAAATCAGTTCTCAACACTCAACAATATAATAATCCAATATAATCAATCAA